TCTATGGCTCCTGGAGTACGGTATATCCAACGAGTCACGCACTCACAACACCATCCAACATTGAAAACTCGCAAAATGGTGAGTCACTCAGATAATTTTCCTGAACAAAACGAGCACTGCTGCCAATCGGTACCTCTGCGCTCGAGAAGAGGTCGCTTGGTCTCTGATCGTCTACGCTTTCTAGACGAGCATGTTGAAGGGGAGAAAATAGCAGGGGGGGGGGGCAAAAAAAAGTCGCTTCGACCGAGTCACTATCAGCAAAGTTTTCGCTGCCCAGACAGAGGACGTGGATACGAGTACCAGGGCGGAAGATACCCAAGATGTTCCTCTACAAGCAGGAGCTGGCTCTCGCCCATCACCTTCATGTACACCAAAATATGAAGTCATCTCCAGTCGCAGCCTGACTGGAGAAGACCTTTGGAATTCATGTCACCTCCAAACAGCTGCGAAACTTCTAGTATGGAGTCACCCATGGATAGCTACCTGGAGACCAGTACTCTCGATCTGGATGACCTCCAACATCGAGCAGCTCCGAACGTCGCCACGGTCTAGGACATCATCTTCACCCCAGTCGCCAAGAGCGCGGGTTCTGAAACGTGGACCGGACGTACCTGGAATGGGAAGACCAATATTTTCTTCGTGGACCCCGGACATAAGGTGAGCGCTGGCGCTTACATTGAGCAACTCGTGAGAATCTCCGTAAATGTCGTCGTCCGTACCGTCCTGGAAATTTTGTAGCTGGGCTACAGCATCTGGGTGTCACCTTATGGAATGCGGAGCGTTTGGCAGAAACTCTCGCCCCTACTATGGACTGGAAGGGGCTGGGTACCTCAGAATAGATGGACATATCTCAGCGGTCCACCTTGACCTAAAATCGCGCTTCAATTACCGGTTCGGGCAGAGTTCAATATGGGTGGTCTACGTGAAGGAGAGTTCGAACCTATCTGCGCTGACGCGTCAAGGCACCACTCGCGGTCGCCGCAGCAGAATCTTTGCGAATGGCGCTGGTCCGAGTGCTGTGGGCGGAGTGTCATGATAGTATTTGATATGCTCTTTAATGATGGTGGTGAAAAGTCCGATTGAGATTTCAATAAAGTGTAATTTATAGCGCCTCGAAAGTCAATGAAGAAAAGTGACTTTTTTGCCCCCCCCCCTGTAGAATGATGGTGTCTCTTCGTGGTCCTCCCCTTTTTCTCATGACTTTCTCCCGAACACCATACAGCCGGCGTCTGTTCTGGAATATGGAAGAGTTTCGGCCAATTTTGCGATGAACTGGCAGGTAAGCTCCACCAACGTGGCCTAGATCCATGGACCGGTGGGTCCGATTGGATTTTTGAGGTGTCTCATTCCAGAAAAGAACTGAATTCCATTTGATAGGACGCATAGAGACATGGGCAGAGATCAGCCCTAACTGAGCTCTAACATAGCATGAGGGCTGAAGGTATACATGCAGAACAATGCTTCTGTGAACGTGGTCGCGTTGTGTACAGCTGACTTCAACGTCGAATCAGTCGGCAGGCGGCCGTCTGAGGGACTGAACGAGCCGCGCCCCCGGCGCCTTGCCTGGCGCAGTGGGAGGCGGTCAGTGATCGATTTAGGGTGAAAGCAAGCATAAAGGAATGCCAGCGGAAGCCGGGCCTCATTCCATCGCCTTTGTGGGACTTCGACTGATTGCGATCTTATCAAATGTAAAAATCTTGTCTACGAAGTCAAATTTCGTGATCAGTCACGTCGCAATAATATCCTTTGGTCCCCTGTGATCAGTCACGTCGCAATAATATCCCTTTGGTACTACTGAAAAACCCAGTAGCCTGCTCCAAGGAGGTGAAATTCTGTTAAAGTACTGAAATTATCTGAATGTGGAGGCGATGTTCGGGTAGATGCAGGTTGAAAAGAATCATATTGTCACAGCAGTGAAATAAAATAATTCAGAACCTGTGGGTGGTCAGAATACCAGGTCTGAAATTTTTGAATTTACACGAATTCGCGCTTTGGGTTTCTCTCGAAATTCTCTTCAACGCCGCGCGGCGGCGAAGCGATGACCAATAAGACCACACCTGTAACGTACAGTGTAGCTATCCAATCACAGTGCGATTGTCCCCATCTGGTTTCAACTGTGCTGAAACGCTGAAAATGCTCTGCTTGGTACATGAAGTACATGAAGAGATAATATTCCATTTTCCTGATGGTAAGCTCCCATGGCTTCTCACCGTCTTTTTATTTGAGTCCAGTTTTTGATATACTTAGTAGTTTTTTTAGAATGAATGCTTTTGCAGGGATATCGCGAGCGGAGCTAACTACCAATGTTTTTTCGTCATCACCACCGTATTATCAAAGCGCGATGATGAATATGTCGAACAGTATGGCTGCGCTGTCGTTTCGGTGCTCCTCCTCAGCCTACACCACCTGGAACGAGCACGAACCGCTCGGAGCCATCGTATCAAGGTATAACTCATAACTGTAACAAGGACACGATTGGCCCCAACTCCTTCCTACACGGTTACCAGTACCAATCTATTATGTTGTATACGCTGTTGCGCTCAAGCAAAACAATGACGTTCCCCTGCAAGCAAACTTCTACGCGACGAACTCGAGCTACTTCAGTTACATTTAAGTTGAGCAGGCCATGCGGCGTCCACTGAGGTTGTGCAGGGGTGTTGGCCGTCCCGCCCTACAAAGTCTTGGCCTCTGGGAGACAGTCAAGGCAATCGTTATTCGCCGGACCGTTGCGTGCGGCCCGTCTGCGGTAGCGAGCGCAGCAGTTAGTAAGGCGTTCCACAACGACAAGAAAACTAGTATCTTTAACTTATGATCCCTCCTTTATAGAGGGGCGAAAGATGCAGACAAGCGGTGAATTGGCGGGGTTAGCGAAGCGAATTTCGCTCATTTCGCCCCCCCCCCCCTCCCTACGCCAACTGAACTAGCCCTTGTTTTCAATCACTAGTTGATGTTTGCGCTGAAGAAATTTTTTAGCGATAGTTCGAACATATGATGTGTTGAGTATGGTGGATCGTCTGATATTCCACACTCTGGGGATGACTCATAGCACAGCCACCTCAGTTGATGTACATGCAGTTCAATCAGCCACCATCACAAGCTCCTACTGCTGCTCCATCGTTAGGCAGTAGTCCGAACTTCTTCGGTAATTTCTTATTTAAGTTTTGGAGTTTTTCCTATCTTTATGTGATGTGACGTGTTGTGATCATGTTCGTCTTGTGTTCCTTGCACTTGCTCAGGCCTTGCAGTCTTGTTCATGTGGATGCTGGGGCGTAGCAGGGAGTCTGCATTGGCACGACACCACCCCATTTTCCACCAATTGTTGTCGCTGGACCTCTTCCGCCAGCGTGGTCTGGAGGAGACCGCGCTGGCGCCGCCTCAAACCAACCGCCTGACACGCCCAGCATCCGTAGAGAACAGAACTAAACACGGTCTTCGATGAGGTTTGTTGCTCAAGTGCTCATCGATGTCGGAAATTTAACGAATATGTATGTTGAATAAGTGTACCTTACCACCTAGACAGAAGTTCATTAAGATTTTTCGTGTGAGCGTGATGAGATAGTAAATTGAACATGAATATTTATTACAGGTAATGCAATTCCCACTATGCAGACCACCCATCTCGGACCCGGTATGCAAGGGTTCAACAACTCTCGCGTTTCTCTCTTCAATGCTTCAACCCCGTCGTCGACCACACCCCACTATGGTGGAGCCCATCAAAGGCGTCGTAACGACGAAAGCAATGCGAGGTGAGATTTCTTCATTTCAAGCCAGATTTCATACGGATCGTGCTTGCGGAATCAGTCATACTGATATTCTGGTGGTGCCCCCTCCTCCCATCGAAAGTCGCAAGCAGAATGGGCGCACCAATAACGAAGGCATGGACGTGGGCGTGGACTGGAGCGCTGCCAAAGCGGTCCTTCCATCAGTGATACCATCTTGAGTCCGCAGCAGTTGGCGGGAAAAGCTGTTCAGGCTGCGATCCAACTCACACCCCTATCATATGCCCTTAGTTTACAGGAGTCATGACCGTACCTCGCGACTCAAGCGGTTTAAGTCGCGCTATTTGGGAACTACTCCAGTCGCGCGCTTTGGAAACAGGGCACCTCATCACGTTGTAGAATTTTTGCAGAACACGTACCCCATATTTGCTCCTCTGGTACAATCCCTTTTCCCACCTTACTTACCATCTTCTCCAGCGAACGATAATAGTTGCGCTCATAAAAGTTCATCGCACTTGGGCAACCAAACCGGCCTACGGTATGCCCAATTGTATGCGCTCACAGGGGTCCAACATGTTTAATTTCACGCGCAAGTTTTCGGGAATACTGCATAGCGTCCGTGCAACTGTACAGTTCGTGATCTCACATAACTCTTTGTGGAGCTATATATTTTGGATTTTTCAAGGCAGCCGAATCGAAGTCATCTTCTTGATGATTTCCGCAACAACCGCACCCCTCAACTTCAAATTACCGACATCATCTCGCATGTGGTGGAGTTCGCGAAGGACCAACATGGATCTCGGTATGTAGTAGTAGTTCTTGACAACTTGTTTTGATTTTAACGTAAGTTTTCACAGATTCATTCAACAAAAACTCGAGCGTGCATCTGCCAAAGAAAAACAGTTGCTGTTCGATGAAGTACTTGCTAATGCACATGCTTTGATGGTGGATGTATTCGGCAATTATGTTGTGCAGGTGAGCTGAAAATTGCTATTATTTTGGATTACGTTCTAGTTCTTACTACGTCTTTTCGTCTTCTTGCACAAATGATGTCGTTGCAATCCGACAGGGCGGTGTGA